ACTGTATACTGTATGCTTATTTAGACTTTATGCGCGTTCTTTTCCAGACTCTGTGGAACACTCTGTCCTTTATGATTTTTTAAATACACATATTGAATTATAGAGATTTTTAGTTTGGTTTGCTTAATGATACTGTTTTCTGCAGGAAGATTGCTGAGGGCCAAATTCTTTCGGAAAACATTTCACACCTTTCCTTAGAGGGTGAAAAAACATGTTTATTGCTCCACACTGATGTAAGTAGTTATTTTTCTACTAAAAAAAGTTTTAAGCCAGTGAAAAAAGTTCTATTTACAACTTATTTAAAAACAATTTTCTGGAATCTCTGATTTTCTGAATTTCAATCTGTTTTCTTGCTTTCCAGTTCCTAAAAATCTCTTTAGCACTGACATCTTGCTGACACTGTTTAGAGAACAGAGCAAAAGTGCTTATCATGGTTGGTGTCCCAGTGGTAGAGACATTGTTATCTCTATCTGAAATAATAGAATAAAACTGTTAGCATTACATAGGCTTTACCGTTAAAGATTTCAAATGTTTCCCTTCTAACATTACAAAAGGAGTGGCAGCTGTTCCCAATTTAATATATTATTAAAAACAAAACTAAATGTGTCATCATATTGAATAAGTTCAAGTAGGGAGCTGCGTCAGCATGCGTAGGCTGCAAAGGAACAAGTAAAGGTTTATTCTGTGCTGAAAAGAGACGAGAGGAAACACCATGTTTCGGTTGTGGAGAGTTCTTCCGGTGTGTTCATCTCACATCCCTTGTGTTTCTTTTCTTCTCTTTTCAGCACGGCATAAGCCTTTGCTTGTTCCTTTGCATCATGTTGAAAGATAATGCTGCTACAATAGTTCTACAGGTACATGGGGAGATGCAATGACATCAATGCTGGAAGTTCTTTACTGGCAATGTAAAGATAATAAAGGCCTCAGTGTATTTTTCTTCATAGCACAGAACTAAAACTGTACTTCAGGTTTTTCTGTCTGTTGTCCACAGCAATGTCTTTGATGAACGGCAGTATTATCTTGAGTGCTCATGAATTGTAAATCACAATGGGTAAATATCTTGTCTTGCAGTGTGAGCAGAAGGAGCCTGTGTTCTAAAAAGTAGTAACTCTTTAGAAAGCGGAGGAAGTCCATCATAGCACACACCCAGGGATGCATTATTGCCATTATACTGGAACACAAATAGAAATATGTTAGCTAATTATAAATACTGTACATGCAATGAGGCTGGCATTAAATCCAAATCCTATTGAAGCTGCTTTCCCTTGTGAATTTAACACAATGCATTTACCTTGGTAGGATTGATTCTCTGCACAGGGCTTCTGTCATTGGGGGAAAGGCTTTGAGGATTAAATTTACAATGCCTTGCACAAAATATCACCCACCCTTCTTCTGAAAAGAAATTTATAATGTTACCCTCACCAACTCAGAAATTTTGTGGCTTTCCAAGTTTTTTAATCTCTTACTCCATTGTTGACCTACATCCTTTCTAACCAGTAAATCTGGTTTTGTTCACATTCTCCCCACTGTCTAGACTGAACCCCTCCGCCATTACCACCTGTTTTCATATCATTCTTCTGAACGCAAAAATATGAGCACCGTGATGTGCTTCTGATGTTGTTCACAAGTCCCAAAGCTTCCCAGATTTTGTGATTTAAACATCTGGTAAGCAGATGAAATAAGGATGTCAAGCAATAAATTAGTGAAAAAAAAAGATTTGATCTGATTTAAACACTTGATCTTTTTGCTTTCTGCTCTGCTTACAGACGAGCAAAGTTTGTTCTGAAATCTGAATCCAGGTCTATTGATTCACTCTGTCATGTTTTTCTGAAGCAGAAGCAGGAGACATTTCAGAAGAAGCATTAATGGATGTTTTAACATCACACTTCCCTGATATATTTCCCAGACATTACTGACATACCTTTGGTAATGATACACTTTTTCTGAACCCAAATTGTAAGAGGATTTTTTGAAACAAATTATATCCTTTTGCTCTTTTGTTTCTCAAAAGTTTTTTTTTTATAAGGAGCGGTTAAGATCTACATAACAAATACGTTTCAGTGACAACCTGTTATCACAATGGATAATACCCCAACAGTATCACAGATCATACAGCTTCTGCGACTAGATAATGGACATATCTTGGAGACGAAGTGCAGGATTGGAAGATCAAACGATCTGATCAATGTGTGTTTTCTCTTATTCCCCAGACTGTATTACAAAGACCAGGGGGCTCCTGGGATAGCTGTCCAGGGGTGCCTTTGAAGCCACTACAGGGGCTGTGCTTCAAATGCTGGCATCTCAGTTGTCTCCTGCCCAGCTACTCATCAAGGCTTTAGCATTACAAGGCCTCTCGGAGAATTGAAAGAGTTTCCGAAACACAGATTTATGATCTCAAGACATCAAAGAGGCGACGCAGCTCAGCATCCCTGAAAGGAGGAAGGCGGCTGTCACGTCGGCAGGGGCTGTGCTTCGCATCGGATGCAGGAGGGAGTGGAAAGAGGAGCCAGGTAAGCTTCTGCTTGCCAAGTCCTTTATCCTGTTGCAAACTTTCATCAGTGTCTGATGTTCGCCGGCACCCCAGCAAAGGCTGAGACCATGACAGGTTTGCAAAGTGAGCTCCAACCTTCAGGCCTGCCTGAAAGGAGAGCTCGGTCGCCACGGCAACACGACGGCAACTGACTGGTGTCTATTCATACTGTCTTCTGATAAGGGCTTCACTGTATTCTGGAGAAGATATGATGGGCAGTGCAGACTAGGGCATTTAACAGACTATTATGAAAATGTACATGTGCTGTTACCCAAGATACAATACTAATTGTGTTGTGATTCAAGACGATACACCACTGAATGAGGTGGTATTGGGAGAGTGGTGAAGAATACTGAGACAGCCTCCAAACAGCAGAAAGTTTCTTGTGAATTGACTGTGCCCTTTACTAGGACTGGGACAGCAAAGGCAACGCTTATTTTTGCTTTACAGTGGTTTGTGATCATGGGATAAATATGAATAGTAAGTCTAATATATGTATTATTTTCTGATAATTCCATTAAAGTGCATATTAATTTTATAACAAAAGCATATTTTGTATTCAACCTAATGATTTCTTGGGAGCATGAGCACTTCAGAGACACGTTCAGAGTGGAAAAGAGGCTGTACTGTATATCCCTTTGATGCAATAATTGCATGAAGTCTTTATTCCTCGGTCTATTCCAAATGATCTGTTGGATTGGGTTTGTTTGTTTTGGTGAGCCCACTATCTCTGTTATGGTTCTTATTTAGTTTGACTTTATTTTCATTTCCAAACTTTTACAGCCAGGCCTTTGGCTTTTATTTTGACTTTTATCTCCAGACTCCAGACAAACCAAAGTGAGCCGAGGATATTCACATTATAGGATTATAGGATATTCACAGCCCCGTTAAGACCCTAATTACCCAAAAACCAGACCAAAAAGAGACACCTGTCAGACGATTGTCCCAGTAGATTCAACACACCAGTTTATTTAATTAACATAAGAGGGTAAATTGAATTGACTTCATTAAAAATGAAATAGTTGGGTGTTGTACTTATTGTCATAATTTTTTTCACATGAAGTGATTATTATTAGAGTTTATCGTGAAAATGTCAGTAGAGACATTTGTGGAGGAGCAGTCTTTAAGCATAAACTACTGTTGTTTGATCTGAGCTCAAAAGCAAAACATGCTTAGGAAAAAACAGTGATATCTGAGGCAATCTCATACACCAGATTTCCTTAAAGAATAGACGCTCATTAAATATTGTAATACTCTTAATCCAGAAAGTCACTGAGGAGAATTTTCAGTACTAAATCTTTGACATCTTGGCATTAATTCAATGCAGTTCTTACAGCACTTTTCTCCAGTGAATGTATATTTGTATTGGTATTGAAGTGCAAGGTGTACTCTGGGTAAATGATGAAGAATTCTTTGAAGATAATGTATGAGTGACTATTTGATTTGGGTCTTGGCACCTGCTTCATTTTATTGTGTGAAAGTGTGTGTTCAATTAACATTAAATGTTAAATCTTAAAGTGGCACATGAAGCATGACATTCTGGATAAATGGTGTCATTAATGAGGGTTAGTTGGAATATCTGCTATGAAATGCTTTTCTTTAATTTATTTAATAAGTGGTTTCCTAAAAGGCATAAATCACTCTTCAGCCACACATGGCTTTAAAAGTGTGTTTATTTAACAGTCCAGTCCGTGATGGAGCTTTTTTTATTCGATCTTATTTTACCTTCCTGCAATGACTGCATTGTTTTAATGACTATTCCCATTGGTGAAAATAAGATATTTATAAATTAAACACAGTCAGGAGACTGGAAATTTTTTTTAAAAAGCCATAATAGTCACTCCATTTTGAATTGTGTTTGATAGCATTCTACCAATATATTATTGTTTGAAATGAAATATTACTTTTGTGTATTCTTGTATTTGGGAAAGGTTCATGTGACATTTAGTGGTACAGTAATTTAGTCTAACAGACTTCAGTGATATGGGTCATGGTTTAAATTCCATCTGCAAGCAACAGCCCATTCGAGGCAACATCTGTTTGACCGTCTAAAACCTCCCAGATGACATTCACTGTTCCAGAAGCATGCACGTTTTTACACAGCATTGCAGTTCTGGATGTTACATCCTAAAGCTTTTGCTAGAATTTCCATTCTTTTAATCTGCCATTTTTTATAATCACTGATGACTACAGTGCGGTAAGGAGGAAGAACCTTACAGGTTTACAGCTTAATGTGTATCACTGCTCATCGGGACAGTCTGCCTGCATCTAACATGGTAATGGGCCAGCACAGAATATCATGGGATCGATACACCTCTGCTTTCCTTGGTTTATACTGTCTGTGATGTGTGTAACTGCACATGTGTTCTTTACTGCACAATGCAAGTTCCTGGGTTTTATTAAGAAAATTTTAAGTGGTTCAGTGCTGTTCAGGAGAGGGAATCTCTTGCTCTTTACTGTGAAAACCTGACAACTCTTTGAACAAAATCCATTACAGGATTTTGATCGTTCCAATACATTAATTACTGAATTAGACCTTAATGCTAGGTTGAATTGAAACCAGGTGCTGAATATCATTTGTACTAAGGACTAACTGCAGCAAAGCTTTAATGGTCTGAAAAAAAAAAACAGGTTGTATTGATCTAGCCTATTACATTCTGTCGTTAGACCTTTAAAACAGAGGCAGTTTACTCCCTTGATAAAGGCATGATTCTGATGTTGTCTACTTCATGTGAAGTTATGCAGCTGTATAGCTATAGGGAATATTCTGTTAAAGTAGTAAATCACATAATTGTGTCTCTCAGTCAAAAGCACATTTTCATGTTCTTCTGCGACTGCGGGAGGACTGAAAACATCATCATGTAATTAACACTTACGTTATGGAAAAGGGTGATTCACTGCAGTGTCAGAGAGATGTTTTAAATAATGGAGGTCAAGAGCCTGGATCTGCTGGTTTAGTTTAATACTTTATGTTCAAATTATCAGTGCTGATCAGCTGTGTTATCACAGTATGACCACAGTTTATCACATTGATACATAGACACCAATCTTCAGGATGACACCAGGCACTGCAGCACAGTATAACAACACACTGCAGATTGTGTCAGTTTACAGTCTGCCTTCCTTCACAGCACCAGTGCAAAATGGTTGGTTGACATCTGGGTCATTGAGGAGCATCTTTTGGATAATCACGTTATAGGATTAGCATAACATTAGTTTGTGTTCCCAGTTGCTTCTCCATCTGAGATATGACAAGAATTATTTACGTGCTGGATTGAGTTGAATTTCTTCGACTGTGCTCCGATAAGCTTTTAGAGTGCTTTGAGTAAGAAATTATATATTTTCATGTCAATAAACTTAAAGATATGCAGCCCAGACAATGCAAACATACATTAATTAATACTTAGCTTTGCAAAGAGCTGCACTGCCATTGTTTTTTCACTGCTTTTTGCAATCCAGCAATTCTGTATGTCAGCTCCAGATCCTAGCTTGTGTTTAGCCTTGTGGTATTATGTATATATTGTGATTTTTTTTTTTTTCACTTGACATACCATATAAATTCAATCAGGAGTAAAAGTTGGGAAACTGGAAATCAAGAGTGATTGGGCCTATGATCTTTGTTATTGTACAAGCCTGGTCATTTTGATTCCTTCTGTAAGATTGTTTTTGTTTCTTACTCTCTATACTATATACTCTCTAATTTTGTTATACACTTTGGGAACTGTGTAGTTTGCAGGAATGATATGGTGGAATTTGATAAGACATGGCTCATGGCAGTTTTGGCACTGCTGAGGCCAAGTAGGTGCTGTGTAGCTCCTGACTGTGGTGAGATCTGTGATGACTGTGGTGTTAAAGACATGCCAGGCTCCCTCTCAAGCATGTCTGAACTGCAGCAGTGCGATCTCAGTTCAGAAAATGAAGTCATCCTGGAAAAAAAAAAGTATTACTGATAAAAATCTTCTTCATGTAGAAACCATAATTTTTAATGCTCTGAAGGAAAACTTCATAATGGCAACCTGACTACTCTAAAACAAACTAATATTAACTAAAATAAAAATAATGTTGTAACCTCCTGAGAATGAGAACACACATCTAATGGCAACTAAGTTGAAAAGGATTGCTTTTGGGGATTACATATAGATGAAAACAGTTTTTTTCCGCTTGATTTAGTTTTCTTAGGAATCTAGATATGAATTAAAGCAGCTTTTCCCTTTTTTACAAGTTACAAAAGTTGGCTGTTTAAGCTCTTTCAGAGCAAGACATTCTTTTGTGCCCAGGAATGCACTTGGTTGCTTTTCTTTGGACTAATTCCAGACCAGCAACATCGCATTTACAATGTTGTGACAAATGTCTGTGCAATTTTCCAAATGAGGTAGAACAACATTCTGGTCTACAACACTCTGTTTATGTGGTGTATTACTTCCCAACGTTGTCCGGAAGATGTAAAGACTGTCAATGTAAAGACCTTTACGTTTTTTATAAAGGCGACTTCTTCAAACTCACCTTTCCCCATTTTTTATTTGTAGTTTGTATTTTTGCTATTTGAATATAGCACTCTGCATTTTATCTACATAATGTGTCGTCTAAGTCATTTTTGGAATTTCCTTTGTAGCTTTTACAGTGTTTGCTATTCCTCCTAATGTGATATCATCTGCAGACTGCAAACTTGAGTAGTTTACACATAATTTGCATAATCACTGATATAAATCAGGAAGAGCAGTGATCCTAGCACACATCCCTGTGGTACTCCACTGATCACATCTCCCTAGTTTGAGTAGTCATGCTTCTGTCTCTTCTGTGCTAGTATAATAGATCTATCTATCTAAGAGATCTTTGCCTTTCCTCAGAACTTTGCCGAATTTCTTCTATGGTGAACACCTGAGTTAAACAAAAATACATCTGCTTTTTTAACTTTCAGCATCAAAATGTTTACTCCTATTATCTCTGAGACTCTTCATTCTTTACTGTTCTTCTGCTGTTATAATACCAAAAAAATCTTTAGTGTAACCCCCATTGCAATATTTTATCTTTTATTTTGTCCATGTAATATTCTTGTTTTTAATGAGCTTGCTGTTCAATACACGCTTTCAATACTGTTTTTCTCCTTATAGTTGTCTTAATTTATTTATTAACCCAGCTTTAAACTATCTGTTCTGTGCTTCAAGCAGAATATCAGTGCATCTATTAACTTTTATCTCTTACCTGTATAAAACCCTTTGCTGAAATTGTAAATATTTTTTTAAACTGTACCTATGCAGTTTTAAAATATTCTTCAAAGCATACCATATGATGATCACAGTTGCCTAATAGTTCTCTCACCTCTTTTTTTCCTGAAAGTTGCATAGCACTGTAGTATTCATCACCATCACTCTGTCAGCTACAGTATGTTTCATTGATTCGAAAATACATCTAATTACCTTCTAAGGCAATTGATTCTTGTACTGCTAGTATACTAGTACTAGTACTAATACTAATAATACTAATAATTTAGGCAGAAGTATTTACTTACAGTACTTGGTCCTTTTTTGTTCTGTTTTTTTCTGGGCTTTTCTTTTCGTCCTTTGCCAAATTCTGGGTCATGTGTTGTGCTGTCGGAATAAAATGTGGAAGTTTGCAAACAGAGAAGGCAGGATTCCAGAGAAAACTGGAGACTTCTTCCTGCCATTTCAGTTTGTTTTCAAAACCTTTGAATTGTTGTGGATGAAGAGTGTGCTGTTTATGCGATGTCACGTGCAATGTCACCCGCCTCAGCTCCAGGATGACAGCGCACTGTTGTCTCAAGACCCGTGTTCCTAAAAATAGAGCCTCCAGCCACATCCCCTTGTCTTTCACACTTCTGGTGTCAGTGCCATTGTTCAAAGTCGAGGCTGAGGGCTGAGGCCTTAGCTTCAGGATCATTTCTGTACTTCAGTATCTTCTGTGTCCCGGACCCGGCTAATTGACTGCTTCCGGGTCCCGGATTGGAGGGAATATGTTTTGTGATGAGACCTTGTGTTTGGTTGTTGCGATTAGATCTTGTCTTTTATTTCCTTCGACCGCCTGAGGCCAGCCTCTCTAGGTTCTTATTCCGATCATTTGGTCTGCCTGCCTCCACGACTGTAGGATTTTTACAGCTCCGGTCTCAAGTCCACGAGCTCCACCGTCAGTGCTTTCACTTTTTCACAGAGGAAGGGAATTTCTGACCGTTTTTGCAGATGTAGTTTTGCTGATTGAAGTTTTCCAGAGTATTCCAGGTATTGCACATGTTGCAGATCACAGACTTATGTGCTGTGTAATATTTTATCTTTATTGCTTTTTTTGAAAGTTTGATATTTATTTGGATATTAAGAGCATGTGTCCCAGTTTTGAAGTCATGAAATAAGAAGAACCTGAAAAATGTGGTTACTAAGGATGCTATTAGCCAGTACCTAGGTGCAGGTGTAAAGGTAGATGCTGCTATATGCTGTCCTTGCTCCTGAGAGGTTGAGAGTTTTGAGTGTTTAGAAAGTTGTACTCCTTTTCATATGACATACAGAATGTCTGAAATAAAATTCATACGTCTTACACATACTACGTCGATACTATAGAATACAGGTAAACATTAAGGAGTTGGATAAGTTAGAAAACAGAAGCTACAAATCTTGTATATTTTTTAAAGTCTGGATTAGGTGCATAAAAAACATTTTGCAATCACAGACATGGCCAATGCTCCATTCACTCAGCTTCTCTGCCTTTTTGAGTGTTCAAATGGGTGTGACGCCTGTTCAGTCTATGGAAAAGAAAGAAAACGTATTTCGTGGTAAACACTGTTTTGAGCTCGTTGGAATTAGTTTGGCAGATTAATTTGCCATTATGATAATTGGTTTTGCTTCTATCTGGAAGGGACGCTTGAATTTTTATGAGCCTCCCCCTCATCTCTCTGTTGACACTAAAATAGAAGGTGATTCAAACACATTGCATGCTTGTAGGATTCAGCCCAGCGCTCCTGTGGGAGACAGTGAAGGCATCTTAAGTCAACTCTGTTTAGACAAATAAGAGTTTGTCAGATTCAGCTGAGACCGGAAACCATAACCGGGCAAGTGGCTTTCCCGTTCATCAGAGTGGCATGTTCAGATGTGCCAATCGCTTTCAGAAGAAAAAGCTTAAAAATAATCAATGTTTTTTATGTATTAAGCAATTAAAATATTTCAGTAGGGAAAGATGGCTTGTTCGAGAAAAGAGAGTTATTATAAAAAGGATTTCCCACAACAGAGGCTTACTGTTTGTAGTACTCCCAGACCTCAGGCAA